TTTTGCTTGGTTGGAACAGCAGCTACGCTAATTATGTCTCTATTTGTTTGACATCCTGTGGTAACTAGGATTTACACAAACTTCAGTCTGGATCCAACCCTTACAAAGACCTGAGATGACCGAACACCTGAGAAGAGATGATGCCGACCTCTCAGAGGACCTCAGATGATGCCAACCCTGAAACAACATAAACTACCAAATTTTGCTACAAGTTTGATTGCAACATATAATCATTGCTGTGTTCATCGTCTGTTTGATTACGTCATTAACTGAATTTTACTGTACATTTCTGCCATATGTACATTAATTTGACATAGTCACCACTGACAAGCTACTACTAAATATATTGTAGAAACTTAATTTTCTGTAAAGCTGCTTTGCAACGATTTGTATCGTGAAAAGCGCTATACAAATAAACTTGAATTGAATTGAATATATGAACTGCTGTCGAAGATTTTCATAATGCTTATTTTCATAACAGAATTAACAGAATAACAGAATTAGAATTTGTAGGTGAACTATCCCAGCTAACAAGGAACATTCTCAGAACCTTGGGCAATTACTAACATTCTGGCAAAGTTCTCACAAAGTTATGAACAAACATTCTTCCAGTAATGTTAATAGAATGTTCATGAACATGCAGGCTTTTGCATCTGAACTCTTCATATGTTGTCTGTTTTAATTTTTTCTGGATTTATAATTTATTACAAACATAAAACATTATCAATTTAATCTTTTATGTAATCAAATGAAAATGTAACCGTTCCTTTTAATTTTAACAAAGTGCTGTACAGCAGAGGTTTAGCCTACTGTAAAAATTACTGTAAACATAAAGTTTTGTTAATTTCATTACTACTACTTCTTCTACTTTGAGAAGCAGGCTACATTCTACTGTACAATCCTAATATATTTGTCACAATTTCAAGTTAAACCGAACTCTTATTTTGACGGGCGGTCGAGAAGACCTTTGAGTTTTGACATAGTATATAAAATGTTTTTTGTCAAATAAAACCCTGAAAATCTCATGAAGTGACTCTCAGAGCAGTTCTGGAGATGTTATGTAGCTATTTATGTCCTCATATAGTGGGAAAGGATCTGCTGAAAACATTGTGACACTATTCAAATAATCTTTTTGCGGTTTAATACTCACAGACACTAGTCCATATCGAGATTTGATTAAGTAGGCTACTGGCCGTTTCGATTGATTTCTTAATCCAAATTTCGTGACAGTCCATGTTATACAGTAGCCTAAATTCCATTTTGACTGGATTCCGCGATTCCGTCCGCGTTTTACGCATTGCGGAAATCATAACGCCCTACATTTATTTCGCGGACCCCCGACTAGCCTATGTGTTGCGGACCCCACTTTGAGAACCTTCAAGTAACATTCCCATAATGTTTGCAAAGTTATAAAGTTCTCTTAATGTTGTCTTTAATGTTCACATAACGACATAACCATAGAAAGAAAGAAAGGGGAAAAAACGTAAAAATTAAAAAAGGACGTTTTGAACATTCAGAGAACATTCAGAAATAACATTTTTATGAGAATTTTAGCAAAATGTTCTTAGAACATGTTTTAGTTAGCTGGAATTCCTTTAATAGCCTACACAACACTGAAAACAATCTTAAATTTTTTTTTCTAGTTCACAGGTAAATTCATCTTGTTTTAAGTATGTTTTGATTTTTTTTGGACAACATAATAAAATTACTAAGTGAGTAGGAAGGGATTTTTTTTTGTCATATACTGTAATATGCCAAAAAATAAAATAAAGAAATAAATAAAAATAAACTAAAATATAAAACCTCACCATAGGAAGGTCAAGGTATTTTAACTCCATCAGCATGACTATGGGGAAAAAAGTCTCTCCTCTCTCCTGTAACGTTTCTTTTCTGTTTCTTAGCATTGTTATAGTGGCTGCCTGCTATTTTTTCCAAAAAGAGCCAGAGACCGTGACACAGTGTTCACTCTTGATTACGATCTTCCTCGTTGCAGTCATTTCAGATATGATTACTCTTCTCTGTTTCTGAGCCATCACAGATGCTGTCCAGTAGCTATCGGCGAGGCCCTGGTGCCCATATTCCCCCATGACAAAACAGCCCGTGCCCACTGCTGATTCAGCTGCCCGGCGAAAGGAGACACAGATCATCCCTCCCAGCACAGACACACCTCACCTTACCGAACACAGCCTCCGTCCATACTTCAGTTTCAATGAAGCCAATGTAAGTTTATCACTGGAAAGAGCTTAACTTAGAGTCTAGAAAGAACTTTTGTCATAAAACCTGTTAATTTGATATTTAAAGGCATCTGTGCACAATATCAGATGAAGAAAAATGAGTTCCCACACTGTCTGAAAAACATCTCTGTGGGTTTGAATTAACGATAAGCATCTAATGAAGCCTTGCAAAGCAAAGAGGTGGTGTTGCTCTCCTTTCCAATTAGCCGTCTGTGCGACTTCTTGGCAAATTAGTTTCCTCGCTGCAGCTCAGACAGTTCCGGTGGCTTCTGCAGAACTTGGATTGGCTTGTGTGTGTGTGTGTGTGTGTGTGTGTGTGTGTGTGTGTTCAGAGCAATCTGCTTGCTACTAGCAAGGAATAAAAAATTCCCACTTTAAGGACTCAAGGTAAGGGCCAATTAACTTCTTAAAGGTTCTTCAAAATCCCATCATTGAATTACAGATTTAAAATGACAAGATTTACATTTCAAGGTTTTGGAATAATACTTTTTCCAGAGATTAGTTTCAGTGCTGTACGTTTTGAATCTGACCACAGTAACTGAAGTAGGAGACATATTTGGTTCAGTTTTTACTTTTTAATATTGCATCTTTACAAATGGCATCATTAATTTTATATACATTAAACATTTACATACAAATACAAAACTAGACATTTATAGCTGGATCTCTAAAATAAAAAAGACAATATATGGCAAGAAAACAATGCTAAGGTTGATATTGTTAATTTTATACAATATATGATAAACTAGATTCCTCTGTCTGAGCGCCCACATAAAAACAGAAAAATATGAGCAAAAAAGGGTATATTTTGATTTTAGAAAACACAATGCATCGATTCAAAGATTTCTGTCAAATAAAACCATTTTTGGTGTGTCAAAGTGAAAACAAATCAGACATAGATTTTACTGAGAAAGCTGTTTTTGTCAGCTGTGATTGTAAACCAATCCAGATCTACAAAGTACATTTATTAGTGAACATTAGATTGAAAATAAATCACATGCATGTTTTGCTGCCGATTTCATTTGGGGAAATGACGAAAACTGTTTAAGCCTCTTTTTTTTCACAAAATGTAACACACTTTTCAAAACACATTTGTCTTACTTAGAGTAACATTACACATTATAATAAATAATATTCTTCCAAAGACGACAAAGGAAAGATGAGAGAGACCATTTATTCAGACTATAAATGTATAAATAAGAAGACAAAAATGTATAAATAAACATCTATAACAATAAGCATCTTCCACGTATCTGTGGAAAATAAATAAAGAGTACACGTATGTACAATATGAACACGACTCTGTGCTTAAACGAAGTCCAGCTGCTGACGGTGGTTTATCCAGTCAGTAACAGAGATACATGGCTATAATCCGTGTAATCTTCATCGTCCTCCTCTTCATCCGTCTCTTCAGAGACCGCTACGGAGGAATATAGTAGCTGTTGCATTAGTATAAAACACAGCAGCATTCAGGCACAGAGTCTTACTGCATCTTTCTCCCAAAGCATCTCTAACTGATGCTTTGCAATTCACACAAGGTTGTGGGATCACAGCTCAGAGAGGAAAGAGAGGGTGGGATTGAGTTTCTCTGTGGAATGGCGCTTTACCTCTGTCTTTTATTAGCGGAGACAGTTTCTTGTATTTGTCAAGTCACTGTACAAAATAAAATAAAATCAAGCAAAGAGACACTACGTAATCCCTTCTTATAAACAAAAATATCGCCGTTTGGAAGATGATTTGTCAATACCACACACAGACTCGGGCTGGTGAAAGATGGTTCTACTTTAGAGCATTACCAACTGATCTCTGAACCATCTAAACATGTTCCTACTAAACATAAAATCACATTTTTCCCTCATGAGATTTGTTATGTCCCAAAAGTTATATTCTCTAGAAACATGTTACGTGAAGAAAGTCCTCTCTTCTTGAGGAATATGTGGCTTTTTTCATTAAAAATACATAAAAAACGGTTAGAAAAATAACAATTGTTTTTCACATTACGCAAAATGGACATAACAAACTGACAGTGAAAAAATGGAGTTTCCCTTTATTACACAGACGATAGACAAAGGTGTTAGAGATGTTAGCTGGGGTCAGAAATGAATGTCCGCAGACAATATTAGTCTCTCGGAATTGATTTTCTGGGCATATAAAACACAGCATACTGACCATTTCAAAAACTGCAATTAAAATATGTGTCAGAAATATATATATATATATATTAAAATACACATTTAAAAAAAAAAATTCTGCCCTCGTATTTTATATTTCCAGGACATTTTTGTCTCTTTTGCACTGGGGAACTTCTGACCGTGCACCATAATGGCACCAGGATCGCTTTTCTTTGTCCATAACACGCATCTGTATCAGGATCATCACAGAGCCGGTCAGCCTGCCATAGGCAAAAACAGCAAGATGATTCACAAACAGAGCATGCTAAGTGAGTTTACGTCCCTATGAACTTTCCACATGACACCGTCAGTCACGTTTCTGTCTCTGATGCACAGAGAGTGTAACCAAATCAGAGGAGCAGCATGTTCAAAACTGTCTCGCATCCCAAACGGAAATCCTTCCAGGCTTGACCTCAAAGATTTTGGCTTAACACCTCATCAATAGATGAGCATCTGCACTGTCCCGGACACGTCTAACGTTTCATCGCCACTGAGTTAAAACACAAAGTCTTTGCGAGAGGAAATTCTCTCTCCGACAGTCCTCGTGTTCCTTGTGGGGGCAATGGGAGGGGCGAGAAAGAGGGGTGTTTTCGGCAGGGGGAGGGAATGCGGGACATGGGTGCGGCCAGGTTTAGCATCCTCTACTTACAGTTGCAGGAGCCTGAGTGTTTGACTTCCAGGACGAGACCCAAGGAGCAGGCAGCCTGCCTCATGGCACACTCGTTCGGGTAGGTGGCGTTGTCGCTGGCGCAGACGCTGTCACCCGGACGACTCTCGGGACAGGTGTCCTCGCATATCACACAGCGTCCCCGTCCCGTCTTCTTGTCCCAGAGACACTTTCGTCCCTCCCGGCATTTGATGTCTTTACAGGACCTGGCGTCTGAGGACGATGCGGAGTAGACAAAGAAAATGAGAAGTGACGTTTTCCGAAAGTATGATTTCACTTTATGTAAAACCACTTTTCAAGCCCCTTTCGGCTGTTAATTGTAATCTTATTTCACTCAGTGTGGTTCGAGGAGGTATTAAATAACGCAGAAAAGCAGCGACAGTCAAAGCTACCCATGTGAAACATGAATGTGTTATTGCAACAGAAAACAGAGTAATGAGAACCACATGTTTAAGAGAGGATTGTGCAAGCACAAGATTTTGTCTTATTCTCACCTATGCATTTCCCCTCGTAGGCGACTCCAATGGACCGTCCCATGATGCACGTGGCCCTTCGGATATGGCAGCCACTGGCGTACACAATCCCGTCGTTCCCGCACAGGTACTGCTCCGGTGAGGTCACCTCAGGGCAAAGCCGGTTGCAGGTCACACAGTAGGCGTTGTTGGTCTGGTCCAGTACACACGTTGCGCTTCCAGGACAGCGCACATCATAGCACGACTCTGTAGGAAAATAATAATCCATCAATGCTGGCAGCTTCTGTGGTTAACCTCTTACACCTGGTTACATGCCACTGATTTTAAACTAGCTTTATATTTTGTCAATGCATAAAAGTATTTTGCATTTATTCTCTCTATATATATTGTGGTAGGCATACTATTTTTATTGAAAAGACATGAAATGATGCATGTTTGTTCAATTACTAGCAAGTTATCATTCAGTTCCTTTTAATGCAAATTTCAGATTTGAGAATTGAGGCTTCGTTTTAGCCTTAAAAGTCAACGTGAAACAGCATTCACAACCATTTTACTTCTGTAATGCGGTGTATTTCTGAGTGAAAAAGGATATTTAGTGAAAATTTTGGTCGGAACTTAAAGGGGTCATATGATGCGATTTCAATTTTTCCTTTCTCTTTGGAGTGTTACAAGCTCTTGGTGCATAAAGAAGATCTGTACAGTTGCAAAGACTAAAGTCTCAAATCCAAAGAGATATTCTTTATAAAAGTTAAGAGTTAACCACGCCTACCTAAAACAGCTCGTTCTAACACGCCCCCACATATCTACGTCACTATGTGGGAAGATTTGCATAATGCCGCCCAAATGTTCACGCAAAGAAAGAAGGTGTAACTTTTA